AGAAACCAAAATAAGAAAAAAAACAGACCTCCTAGTTGATTCCAACAGGATGGAAGAAATAAAGTCCAAACTTGAAGAAGCCTTTGGATTGCCCAATTGTTGTGGAGCCATAGATGGTACAAACATCATTATGACCCTTCCTACCGTTCAAACATCAGACGATTGGTGTGACCTGGAGGACAATTGTTGACCATGCGATGAGGTTTCTTGGCATTGTAACTAGTTGGCCTGGGGGCATGACGGTGTTAGAATTCTATGGTTGTTTTGTATTTTAGGTTATGAAGGTTTTGTAATCTGAAGATTTTGCAAGAGAAGGAGAAGAAAAGAATGAGAGGAAACTGTTCTATTGCATTTTCACAAACAGTTGGCTTACATAGTGTGCTCGGTAGCTGAGAGAGAGAAGTGATTCTTCTCTAACCAAATTACAGCTGCCACCCTATGAGGTGCTTACACTTGTCATACCAAATCTAAGCTAGAGAATCCATCTGGACTATGATCCAATGGTTCTAATTACATCACATCTAAAATAGACGTAAAAAATGAGGAATAATGCTTGGTGACTTCGACTATAAGAAAGCAGCTGAATGATTACATTTCAATACTCCCTTCTAATCCTTTAGCTGATTTCACACCAAGTAGTCTTCTTAAACTAACAAAACGATCCTTAGGCAGAGCCTTGGTGAAAATGTCTGCTATTTGATCTTCTGTCTTGCAGTAGATTAGCTCAATTTCTTTTGCTTGAATGGCTTCCCTTATGAAATGAAATTTCCAACTGATATGCCTTGTTTTCTGGTGATGAACTGGGTTCCTTGCCATTGCAATAGCAGAAGTGTTGTCACATAGGATTGTTGTTCCTTCTACTTGTTCTTCACCGAAATCCTTAAGCACAAATCTTAGCCACTTGGCTTGTGAAGTTGCTTCTGCAGCACTCACGTATTCAGCTTCTGCTGTGGACAAAGCAACTGTGTGTTTTGTTTGGGGGGAAAAAAAAAAAAAAAAAAAAAAAAAAAAAAAAAAAAAAAAAAAAAAAAAAAAAAAAAAAAAAAAAAAAAAAAAAAAAAAAAAAAAAAAAAAAAAAAAAAAAAAAAAAAAAAAAAAAAAAAAAAAAAAAAAAAAAAAAAAAAAAAAAAAAAAAAAAAAAAAAAAAAAAAAAAAAAAAAAAAAAAAAAAAAAAAAAAAAAAAAAAAAAAAAAAAAAAAAAAAAAAAAAAAAAAAAAAAAAAAAAAAAAAAAAAAAAAAAAAAAAAAAAAAAAAAAAAAAAAAAAAAAAAAAAAAAAAAAAAAAAAAAAAAAAAAAAAAAAAAAAAAAAAAAAAAAAAAAAAAAAAAAAAAAAAAAAAAAAAAAAAAAAAAAAAAAAAAAAAAAAAAAAAAAAGGCCAAAAATGGCTATACGAGCTTTACATTTCCCTCGCTGCCTAGCTCGCTTCACTGAATTACTTCCCATCAAAGTCTTCAAGTTCAAGGCCAAAAAAGAGGTGGGCAATTCCTCATTTGAGCTCTCATGGCGTCTCCCAAGAAATCAAAGAAAAGCAAGAAAGATAGGAAATTGAAGAAAAACTTAAGCTTGGTTCCAGTCGAGCCCAAAGCCGCAGACTCTGACTGGTGGGATAGTTTCTTCAACCCAAGGTTTTTCTTTTCACTAAGCTCAGTCTCCAATTACTCTGCTTCCTGCTTTTTAGTGGAATGCATTCAGATTACTTGTAGTTTTAACCAAATTCTCTTTATATTTTGTTTATTTTGGAAAATCTATGATGCACAGACATCTAGAACAGGTGGTGGATTTGTTCTGTAATGTTAAATTCGGTAATGATGTTCATAATCAGAGCTCAAAACCTATAAACTGTGCTTTTGTTCAGTTAGGCTGTCGGAAAAATAGGCCTAGGCGCTAGGCGGCCGCCTAGGCGGGTCTAGGCGGGTCCCTTGTTTTTCCTTTTTTTTTATACATTTTTTTCTTTCTGACTTTAGCTCAATCATGAAATCGCTTCAATTTCTGATGGCCGCTATACGAAAACTGGGTTTTGATTATGTGTTTTGCATCCTGAAAAGAGAAAGATGTGGTTGAAAAGTTATTACTAGAGGGAGCAATAGAGATTTTAGTCTGTAATTGTTAGGAATCTGGTTTGGCCTAAGTTGGATTAGTTGGAAATCCTAACTGAATCAGAATTGGGGAACATACAGACACAGAAACACATAGTCGTGCTTTGCTTGTTGTCATGGATAATAGCAACTAAAGGTAGATAATAGCAAGTACATGGACTAAGGTTTGGGGCTTTAGATAGATAATAGCAAGTACAGGGACTATGGTTTTGTTGAGTTGTTCTTGAGGTGGTTGTACTATCTTTTTGTTTTCTGGTCATGTTTATGTTCTAGTGAGCCAGAACTAAAGATTTGGGGCTTGAGATAGATAAGTGGCTTATCTATACAAACACATTGGAAGAATTTTTATGGTTTAGATTTGTCCAAAGGCTCTGTTCAAGGACGTGAGGCATCATCAATTGTGAAGTTGGTGCCTTATCAAGTACTTAAATTTGAAGGGTGCAAAAGTTAGTCGGGATAGTCTTGTCATGTTGTTGTGCGGATGCAAAGATCTGGTGATGTTGGACGCCAGAGATTGTTTTGGTTTCGATGAGAACGACAATGAAATATCAAAGCTTGCGTCTCATATTAGTAAATTTATGCGCTCGGGTTTTGAATTTCCTGAATTTCTTCGTGGTTTGGACAATTTGGTTCTTCCTGTTGATGGATACTCATTTGATCAGCATGTGGAGGAGAATTGGGATGAAATGCTCAATGATTTGCTCAATGCGTTCAATGATTTGCGATTGAAGGAACAATCTATGTCTCTGTCTCAGCATCCATACAAGACATAATTCGGAGATTTAAAGGGGCTCACAGTAACTTTGATGAATTTCCAGAGAGGTCTAAGTCTTAATAGTACGTGTTTTATCATATGTTGGGAATACCCAATCTGGCAGCTTGTTTAGCTACAATGACAGTCCTTCAGGTTTGCTTTTCTGTTTTTCCTTTTTTCCTCGGCTCATTTTTCCTTGTATTAATTAGGGTGCTCTGCTGCTCAGCGATACTCACCCATCTCTGAAAAATAGCTGAGCTCATTAGAGTGCTTGTTGATGAAGAGCATTTGGGTTGGAATAAAGCGTGGGACATTGCTTGCAACTGGCTTGCGAGCATATGCAGCAGATCCTGACCTTCAACGAGAATGGATGATGGTACTCACTAGGCTTGATATCTGCTTAGGAACCAAAAATATATTAAGCTTTTGGCTTCTTTAATTTTGTATTTAAATCTGTTGTATATATGCTCGTGTTGTAGGTTAAGAACGTTAACAAAATGAGGCTCGCTGAGTACATTGAAGCCCTAACCTAAACCCTAAAATAATATGACAAAATTGTATATTTAAATGGTATAGCCGGGCGGCTATACTATTTAAATATGTCGAATATTTTAAACGTATAGCCGAACGGCTATAATTTCTAAATACATTCGAATATTTTAAAGGTATAGCCGGACGGCTATACTGTTTAAATATATTCTTTACGAACACCGAGGTTGCACTCGCAGAGGACGGAACTTGCACTCGCAGTCACTGCTTCGTCCTCCGAGTTCGGCACCGAAAAAAGACCCAACCAGCCTAGGCCCCTGCCTAGCTGCCTAGCGACCGCCTAGCCGCCTAGCGCCCTCCTAGCCACCGCCTGGCCGCCTAGCGCCCGCCTAGCGACCTCCTGGCCGCCTAGCACCCGCCTAGCGACATCCTAGCCGCCTAGCGCCCGCATAGCGACTGCCTAGCCGCCTAGCCGCCCGCCTAGGCCGATTTTTTCAAACACTGCGATTGACTGAAAGTCTGAAACCCGAAATTGAAAAAATTTAGCTGCAAATTTGAGCTTGAGATTGGGAAGCTGAAGCAGTGAAGCACAAGTCAGGTCCATAGAAGAGCAAATATGTTGGTGCATGCATTCTATGGTGTTATCTTGAACTTTCTATCTTTCACATTCCCATATCTAACTATTAAGATTTGGTGAACAACTTTGACAGATTTGTCTGAAGGCAGATGAAAGAGATGTATACGAGTTATTCTCAAGGGCTGGCAAGGTTTGTACATTTCTCGTTTATTTATCTCATGTTCATTTAACAAATCATAGAGGATGGTGGATAAATATCTTAAACTATTTAGCTAAATGCATTATATTTTCACCTTCTGCTCTCAAGGGCACCCTAACACTATCTGATGCAGTGCTGCAACTAAACCAAATACTGGAAACCCATAACGTTTTCCATTAAGTGCTTCTGCGGATGTAATTGTAAGTATATTTCTATGATTGTCTATCTAATAGCTCTGAATTGTGTATTTTTAGGTCCGCGATGTACGCCTCATTATGGATTGCAATTCAAGACGTTCTAAGGGAGTTGGGTAAGTTTTTCTTATGTCTTGGTGACAAAAGCTTTGGATGGTTGTTAACAGAAGGTTCACTTTAACAATTACCCATTATGCAATGGTAGCGTTTAAGATGATGTGAGAGTCTTAAATTATCCGGTTGTTAATGAAAAAAGTTTATGTGGTTGTGTTGACAAGAAGCCAAAGATTTCATTCTAAGGTTCAAATAAGACTATCCTTTTAATGTCGCTTGGTCATTTTTGGAATGGTTGGCAGTTCCTGCTTCCTTCTTGATGGCTTCATCTTCCTTGTTCCAACGTTTTCTTGTGCAGTACGAAGAATCATCACATCATTTACAATGTTCAAAATTTGCACCATCATCTTAGAAAGTTTTCGATGATATTGATCGCCTTTGTACTAAAAGCAGTACATATAGTATATACTATAGGTTATTCTAGTTGGTCAAGATGATCAGATATATCATATAGGACATTTTTCTTTCCCCGTTTTGAACTATGAGTGGAGACTCCAGTAAACTTTGCTATTATATGCATCTGTATGTGGCAATTGGTTTTTGATTATCTAAGAGTCTAATGTTCTCTAGTTTGTAGGTATATTGAGTTTTATGATGCAATGTCGGTACCTATGGCGATTGCACTTTCTGGTCAGCCTCTTCTTGGTCAACCAGTGATGGTGAAGCCATCAGAGGCTGAGAAGAATCTGGTTCAATCAACATCTGTGGTTAGCGGACCAGGTGGGATGATAGGCCCATATTCTGGCGGAGCTAGAAGGCTGTATGTTGGAAATCTCCATACCAATATAAAAGAAGACGATCTCCGCCAGGTGAGTACTTTTCTGACACAGTTCTAATGTTGGCATCAGATAATGTACATAATCAAGCTTGCTGTTGGTTATGTAATTTTTTTTTGGTTGCTTTTGAGCACTTCTGTTCACAGTTTCCTAATTTCGTCTTTGTAATTGTGAATATTTTTTGCATTTTGACTTTCACCCTTTAATATGTGATATATATATATATATATATATGCAGGTTTTTGGAGCATTTGGTCCTGTAGAACTGGTTCAGTTACCTGTTGACGAAACTAACAACAGCAAAGGTTTTGGATTTGTGCAGGTCTGTTTGACTACAACTTTCAACTTAAGCAGCCTGGATATAGAATAAATATATAAATATTTGCATGCAGCTAGTTATATTAAGCCAAAGGTCATTTATATTTATTTGCAAGTCCAAATCCATGGAGGGGAAATTTGAAAAAGAAAACTGTCAACTGCCGGTTCGTTGTAGCTGGAGATGGAATTTGAAATCGACTCTAAACAAATGCACACCTTTTCTTGATTGGGTCTTCTACTGCACCAGAATTTAATAAGAATCTAGTGTATTGTCTTTCAAGTTTCTTCCCAACTCAAACTGAGAAGAGTGGGCACCAAAAACTTCTAACTGCCAAATCCTTAGCTAGGTGCGGGCATGGGTTGGGTTAAGGGTCAACCCATCATACAATTTCAGGTTACAATATTTTAAAACCTGAAAGGCCAATGAAATCAAGTTGGGTTGGCAATGTTTTTTTCCCCCTTCCTTTTAGTTCAATTCCATTCCAGTTGTTCTTATCAGATGCTGGATATGATTCCTTGTAATTGTATTGAATAAATCAAACTCATTGAATCAGTTGCTTGCAGTTCTCACGTCTTGAAGATGCCAGAAATGCACTGAGTTTGAATGGAAAATTGGAGATTGCAGGTCGACTAATTAAGGTAATGGCACATTACTATATTGTTATTATACTTCTTCCTCCAGAAATATGCTTGCATTGTGTACTCTTTCCAAGCTCATCAATTTGGTTGTGTGTGTTACTGGTATGTTAGTACCTCTGGTTAATTTGGCGATGCTTTTTTGACATGGCATGTATTTATTTGATTGTTGGAATTTTTTGTTGGTGACTCTGTTCAGCCTTTCATTGTCCAAATGTATTATACAGTGTGATCACTGTAAGGTAGCGAAACCCAGCAGGCCTACTGTGCAATAGTGCATGAGCTGGGGTTTTTGTTAATGCGCACATTGAGTAGCACGTAGTTGATGTGGTGAACTTCTCATAATGTGCAGATTGTTGTAGCACGTAATTTTACCGATAACTACAAGCACTAGTTGATGATACTATTAGTATCATGGTCTTAAATAGTTATTGTGGTATTTCCTGAATAGAAGCCTCTCTTGCTTTTGTGTTTTGAAATATTTGAATGTGTTGTGGCGATGTGTCACCGACTGCTATCATTCTGAGATTTATAGGGTGGATCAGAGTTGCCACTTAGAATGATGCTTTAGATTCAGGTTTTCAGAAGTCGTTGCGTTGTTACATAATTGTACATCCTTATGGTTTCCCAAACGGATGATTTTGCTTAAAACCATATATTAAGTAATTTGGGAGTTCATCTACCTGAGTCCTCATTTTTCTATTTAGGTGTCAGCTGTTACAGACCAAGCTGGAATGCAAGATCTTGGAGCAAATGCTGGTGATTTTGATGACGATGATGGTGGTGGCTTGGTTAGTAAGATCTTTCCTTTTATGTTTTTATTTTCTATTAACACAAAGAATTTGTGGGCTGATACGATTGCTAAGAACTGTTTGCTCTGGCTCAGTAATTTCTGGGAATAATTGTTGAATGTATGGAAGCTGCTGCTGCTCCATTGCTTTTAAGCTTTTTTGCTGCTTGATGCTTATGGTATCTATAGTTGGTTCGATTGGCTTAATATCTTTTGTGTTTATTGTTCTCTTTTTTATTTGAGTAGATATATATTTCTTACTTCTTAAATGATTAGAGTTCATTCTCCTAGGAGAAAAATAAGGTCAAAAAATAATTTGAACTACCATCTCTTGCACTCCTGCCAGCTTTTTATACTATTTGTTTAAGAGAATCATCTTGGTATGCTGTTTACTTCACAATAAAATTGACAGTAGAGATATATTACAACCAGATGTTGCTTTTTCTGGTCATCATGACTCGGGATATGGCGAACAATGCTGTAGGAAAGTTGATCCGTTGGGGAGGACTATGAGGGATATCCTAGTGAAACACTTGCTGCACAGCAAGCAGACCGCTGCACCAAAGTGATTCTTGTTCTGCCAGTCTGGTTTAAATGAGTTGGAAGTCTGGAACGGTTTCAATCTGTAAAATTATTTGCTTCGGCAATTTCACCGGCACCAGCCATATATGACATGAAATGCTGAATTGCTTCTCTTATTCTCATTGACTTGCATAAAAGAAATGTATGTATGTTTTTAACAGACTATGTGAATCAGCCATATCTTCGTATGGCGGCTTAGAAAGTAGAATGGAAGCTCATTTTGTCAGAGTCTACGTGAACTTGTAACACCAAAGAAATTTAAAGCCAAAGATATCTCACAAAAATAAAGCATTTTTATTTTAATCTGCGGCATAAGTAAGACAAGCAGCAATATATATGTAAAAGAAAAATAATATGATAAAAAAAAAAAGCAAACACCATCAGAGTGAGTTTCCTTTGATTAGAAGATGGGGCCTGGCATGTACAGCAGGATCTCAAAACTAAGCAAGACCCAATACTCCTCTCTATAAAATATGGCAAAACAAGTACAGCTCTCTAAAAAGAAAAAACTTATGGACAATGAGACAAAACTAAAGCCTGATCATTACTTTAAAACTATACCATGGGACCATGAAATTCCATTGCTTCAATCTCCCTTGGTTAGGGGCTGTATGCATGCACAGAAGGGCGCTTTCTTATGTTTCTGGTTGGTTCTATTGCCACCATAGATATAGTCCTTCAGAAGAACTCTTGTTTTCCGCTCCGCGATCCTTGTTGATCCTCTGCTTTCCTTTTCACCATCAAGTTTCAGTAGAAGAAATTACAGTTTCTGCACCTCCAAATGTAGCCGCCTGATTTTTTCGGACCCTCTTTTTGCTTGCTCTGAAAGTCTCCTTCTCACACTCCCACTTTCATCCGACACTACCCCAGAAGCTCCATTAGAGAACAGAGGACTATCTTCAACGTTCTTCATCAATTTTTTATTGACGTCAAACAACTCAGTGATGGCCTCGTCAGCTTCTTCCAGCTGCCCCTTCACGTTTTCAAATTCAATACCTTTGCCCTTTTTTGCTCATTTCAGTAATCTCCACCTTCCTCTTCAGGAGTTATTTGAAGGTTTGCCAACTTTTGTACATCAGAATCAAGTCTTTCTAGAATCCTTTTCTTGTTGCCTTCTTGATGGGGCTCTGTAAATCTCTTAGAGATCTCTAATTTGTCCACGCCCAATTCCTTCTCAACCAATGATTCTGAAGAGGAATATTTATTCTCGTGTTCCTTTACTGCTTCAGTCTGACCTGTGGTCAGTTGGTACAGCGGCCACCTTCTGGCCCTTGCCAGCCATCAAATCAATGCTGGCATCCTGGTCGGTGGTTTCCCACAACTCAAGCATCTGACCATCAGCCTGTATGGTGTCTCTTCTGCTTATCCCATAGGATATACACTCTGATATCTCATCAAGAATGATGTCTTTACCTGAGCCAGATATTTCACGCTTCTTCATAGTGTTACCAAACCCCATCCCCGAGTTTCTTTTCTACCTGATTTGTGGAAAAATGCCTTTCCTTTTCCACCATTGCCTTTTCAATAGCTTTAATTCTTGTTTGTAAATCCTGCAAGTCCGAAACACCATCTGATACCGTGGCCACTGATCTCCATCCAAATGAGAGCTTTCAGCATGTAGAAAGTCATCCTGGATGCAAGTGGAATATAGATGTGTCAAATTCAAATGATATCCAAAATCGCATGCACCATTGAAATCAAATGCAACATGCCATAAGCTGAACAATTCATGTTCAGCCCAATGTAGATAGAAACCAGCTTACTTTCCATAAAATTTCCCAAAATTGAAGTACCACTTCTTTTAAAATATATATATATATATATATATGAAATTTGAGGACTCAAGTAAAATAAAAGGAGAATCCTGGAGCCACAAACAACTTGCATAATTCTGAAGATAAACCATATATTCAAATACTGGCTCCACCATTCATCTAATATAAAAAGCAAGTCTTTCAGAATACTTTCTGGCTAGAAGACCATACACGATGGAATATAGGCAGCCAACTGATCTTGAAGCCCTGATAAACGAAAATCGAGGGGAAAAGATACCAGTATAGCCGAGCGGCTATACCCTTTGAATATATTATATGTAAAGCGTTCAGCCGGGCGGCTATACCATTCAAATATAAAAAAAGAGCCAAAAATGGCTATGCGAGGCGAGCTTTACATTTCCCATCAAAGTCTTCAAGTTCAAGGCCAAAAAAGAGGTGGCCAATTCCTAACTTGAGCTCTCATGGCGTCTCCCACGAAATCAAAGCAAAGCAAGAAAGATAGGAAATTGAAGAAAAACTTAAGCTTGGTTCCAATCGAGCCTAAAGCCGCAGACTCTGACTGGTGGGATAGTTTCTTCAACCCACGGTTTTTCTTTTCACTAAGCTCAGTCTCCAATTACTCTGCTTCCTGCTTTTTAGTGGAATGCATTCAGATTACTTGTAGTTTTAACCAAATTCTCTTTATATTTTGTTTATTTTGGAAAATCTATGATGCACAGACATCTAGAACAGGTGATGGATTTTGTTTTGTAATGTTAAATTCGGTAATGATGTTCATAATCAGAGCTCAAAACCTATAAACTGTGCTTTTGTTCAGTTAGGCTGTTGGAAAAATCGGCCTAGGCGCTAGGCGGGTCTAGGCGGGTCCCTTTTTTCTTTTCTTTTTTTTACATTTTTTTTCTTTCTGACTTTAGCTCAATCATGAAATCGCT